ACATTCCCCCCTTTTTAAAGATACACTGCTTTGCCTTTGCAAGGTGATCTGGCAACCCAGTCAAAGTCACTGACTCTTCATTTAGTACAGAGTGTACATGTGGATGGTTTTTTCTAAAGTCATCAGCCAACATGGTCTGACATAAGTGCTTTCTCATTTTGCCCAGAGGTTTCAGTGAAAGAACTTCTCTCATCAGCTGACTTGACACATGTTGATAGGCATCGATGAAACTTGCATACGCATGGGCAGACAGATCGAATTCTTTGTCCTTAGGTTCAAATAGAATGTGGATTTTCTTAGTGTCTCTCCAAACCTGACATTGAGTATTGTACTTTTTTTCTATCTCTGTCATCTCCTGGAGTAATTCAGCTTTTACAAGCAGATAGTGAGCAGTGTCAACTTCAATTTCATTCATCGTGCATTTGAGAGTCGATATTTTCACAGGTCCCATGACAAGACTTTCAGAGGCTTTTGGGGCAAAAAAATATCCGGCAGCTGAAATGTCATCTTGGGTCCCCAGGAGAGTTAATTCTCCTCCTTTCTCCTTTATAAGGAGCTTTGTAAACCGTTGATTCAATTCTTGTTTGATCTTATTTGCCTGCTCACTGTCTGCGAAAGCAACACATTTCTGCTCCAGAGATGCTACGGTTTTCTGAAATTCACTGACAAAAGCCTCGCTAGCGGCTTTGAGATCACCTGATTGATTGGAGGTGAAGTCTAAATAGACAGTATTCAGAGAACTCTCCTGAATTGTTATTTTTATTTTTACACCAAATCTTCTCTGTACTGAGTCTATTTTATCAGGATGGCTCTTCTGGAAGTATTCAAAGAAAGGCAAAGGAATTTCAAGCTGGTTGCTTTTGTCTTCTGTCCTGGTTTTTGGTTCAAAGGGAGAAACACAGCTGTTCTGGTCCTGCTGACTGAGTGGCTCGCTCTCCAGTGTCAAAGGGGAAGATTCATCTTTGCGCCCACTTTCCTGGAGTTGCTTATTCAAGAAATGATGTATTTTTTCAATATCTCCAAAGGTACCACACACCTTCTCAATTCCATCATCCCCTTCCATCTTTTTGACCTTGGGGCAGATAGTGGTTATGTGTTCCCTCTGCTCTTTAGAGAACAGGTTACAGTTCAGGTCCGCCGTGACACTAAGAAAGATCTGAAATTTTAAAAGGAACAAATATAAGCTCTCAGACGTCAGCCCTATAGTCTCCTATCAAGACAATGCCTAGAGACCAGAGAAACAACCAGAGGGTGACTTCTTTCAAATCCTTTTTGCAGAGGATGCAGCATGCTACAGCCTAGAAGTTCTCAGCTCTGTCTGCACATTAGAATCACCTGGGGAATTAAAACAAAACAAAAGAAAAACAAACAAGCAGAAAAGCCAAGGCCCAGGTACATCTCCAGAGATTCTGTTGTAAATGTCGAGCCTGGGCACGAGCATATTTAAAAAGTGGTGTGGACAAAAAGTCTGGATTCTAGAGCCGTCCTCCGCTCTCTCCACTATTGGGGAATGGAGTGGAGGGAAGGCACGTCTGCTTTCTGGGCAAGTTGCTGTGGTTCTCACAAGAGTCTGTGAGCTTCGAGGGGAGCCATAAATCTGAAGAGGATGTATTTTCCTATTTGTTGTTTTTTCTCGTCTTCAGTATCCCCCCCCCCTTTTTAAACTAAATACCTAACTGCATGCAGTATTGCTAGGCCCTCTAAGTCCTGTCCTTTGGAAGCTCAAATATAGGACAAAAACGCCAGATTAAGCTAAAAATGACAGATGCAAACTGAATGTAATATAAAAGCAAGATTTCTATGTTTTGTTCTCCTCAAGATTTTCACACATGCTCTTTCCTCCGAATGTAACATCCTTCGTCCAGATCTTCCTTCAAATGTTTCCCCAATCCAGCCACCTCTCACACCTCCATCAGGACCACCCAGAGTCCAAGCCACCGTCATCTTGCTCCTGGCCTGCCACCACCCCTCCTAACTGGGCTCTCACCCTGTTTCCACTCTGGCCCCATTCTTACACTCAGTCCTCCACACAGCAGCCAAAGTGAACCTCTAGAAGTATAAACCAGATCACCCCAGTCCCTTAGCTCAAAACGGTCGGATGAATCCCCTAAGATGAAGTTAAAATGCAAAGTCCCTACCTTCATCCCCCAAAGACCTGACTTCTGGCTCCCTCTCCCTGTTCCTCGCCTGTCATTCTCTCTCTTCCCTACTGCCTTCTAGCCACAGTGGTCTCCCTCCTTGAAGCCCGTAGGGTTTAGGACAGAAGCTCATGTCTCAGAGCCTTTGCACCTGGGCTTCCCTCCGCCCCAAACATTCTCACCTCACTTAGTAGCTCCCTTACTTCATTCATGTCTCTACTCAAACATTACCTCATTTGAGAGGTTTTCCTTGGTATTTTATTTAAAATAATGGTCTGGGAAAAAAAGATGATATGTCACTGTCTATCATCTCTCCTGTCTTATTCTTCTTCCTAGCACTTATCACCGGCACACATTTTTTACATATCTATTTTTTTTTTTTTTTACCATCATTATCTGTTTGTTTTACTATCATTACCTGCTCTCAGGGTCTATGCGCCCAGCTATATCCCCAGTTTCTGTGACTGTGCCTGGCACACAACCGGAAGTTGATATTGATTTGCCAAATTACTACATGGCTGGCTCCTTCTCATCACTCAAGTCTCAGGCCAAATGTTACCTCCTCAGAGAAGTTGTCTCTGACTTCTGGTCAGAAGCAGCATCACCTCCTTCCCCTTCCTCACTTTGGCCCTGTCACCCTCTAAGGCAAAACCCCATTCTATTTTCTTCTTAGCACATATCACTGCCTGAAATTGTTTCATTTATTTTGTTTACTTGCTTGTTGTCTTTCTATGTACTTCCCCACCCAGCAGGGATCTTGTCTATTGCGTTCATTTCTGTGTCCCAATGCCCAAAAGAGGGCCTGCCTCCTAGCAAGTCATCAGCAAGTGGTGGTTGGATCAATAATGAAAGGTATGGTGAATGGAGTGGAAGGGGTAAGAATATACCCCCCCCCTTCTTTCAATCCTTACCTTTTGGAGACAAGAATCCATAACATCAGGAATATATTCTTTGTTTTGATGCTTCTCACCAGACCTCACCCCTTCCTGTAACTGTGGCAACGAAGATGTTCTTGGTCTTGCATTCCTCTCCATTGGATTCTCAGTGGGCTCCAGAAAAATAGTCACAAGTTTGTTGTCAATCATAATCTGATGCTTTTCTTTCTTCAAGACTCCCTCTTTAGCTTCAGTGGAGACATTATAGACATACATACACATGGGAAAGACTTTAAATAAACCTCTTATTCATGCATCTGTACCCTGCCCCAGCAGCTTCCCAAGAAGGCTGCTCCCTGCATCCTGGAATGATGGGTTGATGACAGGGCACTGTGGAGGAACTATTCAAACTCTTAACATGGGCAGCTTATGTTTTTGTTTGTTTTTAAAGATTTTATTTATTTATTTGAGAGAAAGCGCGAGCATGAGCGGTGGGGAGGGGCAGAGGGAGAAGCAGACTCCCCACTGAGCAAGGAGCCGGATGCGGGGCTCGATCCCAGGACTTGGGGATCATGACCTAAGCCGAAGGCAGACACTTAGCCAATGGAGCCACCCAGGAGCCCCCAGCTCATGTGTTACTGTAGAAATGAAAAGCTCATGATAATGGGATACACTCTTTAAAAGTCACGTTTCTGAAACTGTCTCCGGTTTTCCCATTTCAATGATACGGAATAATACTCATTATATAAATTTAAGTGAAAACAGCAGACATCAAAGGTACAGTCAGAATTTTGTAAATATATGTTGACTGACTGACATTCATAGAAAAAGACTGCAAAGGAATGTGCCATATTGGGCACCTGGGTGGCTCAGTCGTTAAGTGTCTGCCTTCGGCTCAGGTCATGATCCCAGGGTCCTGGGATCGAGCCCTGCGTTGGGCTCCCTGCTGGGCGGGAAGCCTGCTTCTCCCTCTCCCACTGCCCCCGCTTGTGTTCCCTCTCTCGCTGTGTCTCTCTCTGTCAAATAAATAAATAAAATCTTTAAAAAAAAAAAAAAAGAAATGTGCCATATTGTTTATCTCCAGGTGGTTTTCTTTATTCTTTTCCCACTTGGCTATAGTGAGTATATACCACTTTTGAAATTCTCGAAAACAAACCAGTGGAATAATTAAAACATAAAAACGGAGTAGTACCTAAATGACAAGAGCTTCCATACAGGTGTCTGGGGGGGAGGGAAAGGTGTCCTTCCCAGAGCGGAGAAACTTGAGCTAGGGTGAGGATACTGGGAAGCATCAACTTTACAATGCGGTCAGACCAGATCACGCACTGGGCACTTCTGGGCACTTCTGGGCTCTATCCTCCCCGTTGGGCTGTGTCTTTAGGCAGCAGCAGCCCCCGGTTCCTGTCCCCATCAGACGGTGCCGTACTTTCTCCAGCCATCTCTCCCAGGTCAGCATGAGCAGGGTCTGCCCGGAATCCCGCGGGGCCAGGCTCCTCGGCACCCGCAGCCCCGGCCCGCTGCTCACCTGCCCTTTCCAGGAACTTCACCAGGAAGGTGACCTGGTCCCTGTGGTAGAGGGGCTGGACGGTGCACTCCCCGCCGCCGGACCTCTGGCTCTGGAAGTAGATTTCCAGCTTCCAGCGTATGTGCGGGCTGGACTCGGACACCCGCACGAGCAGCGGGGACGGCGGGCGGAGGGTCGAGGCCATGGCTCTGGGCGCCGGGCTCCGGGGGCGGTGGGGCCGAGCTGCGCCCCGCAGTCCTGGGCCGCAAAGTTTCAGTTTCGCTTTCCCCGAAATCCCTCCCCGTGCCAGGCATAGCCGCTCCCCCTCCTCTCGGGCGCCCTTCCTGCCGCAGCCGGTCCGGTGAGTGGGTCCAGGCCCCGGGCCCCCGAGGGGCGCCGGGGGCGGCGGTGGGAGCTGTCGCTGCCGCTTCTCTCCTGCGGGGCCGGGCGGGGTGGGGGGTGGGGGGCGGGCGAGAAGCGGGTTCCCAGGGCCAGGTGTCCCCCGTGAGGGTGGGGACGGCTCAGAGGTTTAAGTCAAATTAAGTTTCTCCTGTGTTTATGATTCCTTTACATTCTCTTCTTGTTACTATTATTTGCAGCGAAAATGTAATTCACATTCTGAATGCAGGTGAAACGTACTCGTATTTCTCTTAAAATGTGAATTGGTTCGCCTGCATTATGAAAGGGCCACCAGTGACCTCCCTCCAGCTCTATCCTTTGGTTAGACTGGCTCTTGGGACTTTCCTTGGTTTGGCTAACGGCACTGACCTGGGTAATGCCCCTGTGTCCTAGGGAAGAAAGATGAAAGGCCCTGCCCTCAGAGGCTGGTAAGGGAAGGTGGACTTGTGAATAAGGAAGCCAAATCTCTTAAGGCCTCCAAGAGTAAGTTTGAAGCAGAATCTTAAAAAGAGTGAGAAGTGGGGAGCGTCTGAGGTGCTAGAAGCCCTGTGGTCTGAAGCAGAGAGGGAACACTTGGCCTTGAAGGAGATGAGAGGGGACAGAGGAAAGGTCTATCTAGATCAGTGCTGATCAATAGAAATAGAATGGGAGGGGCACATGTCATTTCAAGTGTTTTAGTAGCCATATTTTTAAAAGTTTATGCCCATTGATCAGTTAACATCTGTGAGAGGTGACCTATGTACAAAGTTGTTCTTTACAGCCTTTATTACAGTAGCAGAAGATTGGAAACTCCTTAAATGTCCATAAATAGGGGGACCTAAAAGTTTAACAGCTTATGGTGCATCTATACAATGGAATGCAAAGAGCAGTGAAAAGAATGAAGAAGCTCTTTACGTGCTAACATGGAAAGATCTCTAGGATACATGACACGAGAAAGGCAAGATGCCCAAGAGTGTGTGAAAGATGCTACCTTGCGTGTAAAAACGCCTCTGGAAGGATACAGGAGAAGCACATGACACTGACTGCATCTGGGAAGGAAAGGTAGTGGGGGAGGGGGGCGTAGGAGGGAGCCTTTCAAGCTTTTCTAAATTTGAACCAGTAAACATTATACCTATTCAGACAATAGGATGTAAAATTGGATACATCTCAATCCTTAAGAAGAATGTATGGCAAGAGGCTCTGAGGCCCAGAAATGAAATGGTGTCAGTGGGAAAGGAGGATAGGGGCATATTCGAAAGTGATTTAGGGGACTCCTGGGTGGCTCAATCAGTTAAGTTTTCGACCCTTGATCTCAGCTCAGGGAGAGTTGAAAATTGAGGATCAGCAGAAGCATAGCCTAGAGATATGTATGGGAGTCATATTTGCAGCTGGTGAGTTGGAGCTTTGACCTGGGTGGGGCTCCGAGCTGAGCGTGGCCACTGCTTAGGAGTCTCTCCCTCCTCTCTCCCTCTTCCTATGCCCCTCCCCCCCAGTGTGCTTGCTCTTTCTCTCTCAAAAAAAAAAAAAAAAAAAAGCTGAAGAGACTGAATGGGGCACTATGCTCCTTCTTTTTATTTTGGGGGGGTTAAATGAATGCTGCCCCCATGGCCAAGTCTCTCCCTAGGGCTTCAAGGAACATCCCCAGGTCTGAAGGGAAAAACAAGTGCAACAGCATCTAAAACAAAAGCCCGCTGGGCGCCACAGCCAAGCAGACGCGGAAGTTGTCCTTTTTCAAAGCAGCAGTGCCCTCTGGAGGCGAAAATGTATCTTGTCCTCGCATTTTAGGATCCTAACGGACTTCGTGCTTTTCCTGACCTGTAAGAATAATAGTGCTTTGCTGCTGTAGATAGTGGGGCAAAAGTTTTCCGCAAAAAAGGGATTAGAAATCATTTCCAAGGCCTCAAGGCAGCTATGTGGGTGACAAGGGCGGGCAACTGCATCTTTAAGCATTTTCGTCGGCATTCTCCTAAAAATTCAGTCTTTAATTCCTCCCTGGTAGATGGAGAATCTTAGGATATGTTTTCGCAGAGTTTCTCATTTTTCTCCAGCTATTCTCTTTCTAATTTGATCAAGGATGTTTATCACAAAGTCAGTGACACACGCCCTCCAGTGGTGTAAGCATGGCCTCCTCTTTCTTCAAATACCCTCCACGGTCTTCACTCACTCCTAAGGCTGGTTTTTCCTCATTTTTAAAAAGATTTTGTGTATTTATTTGAGAGAGAGACAGAGATAGCAGAGATAGCGAGAGAGCCTGAGCGGGGAGGAGAGGGAGAAACAGGCTCCCCACTGAGCAAGGGGCCCGATGTGGGGCTCCATCCCAGGACCCTGGGATCATGACCTGAGCCTAAGGCAGATGCTTAACTGACCGAACCACCCCGGCGCCCCGCTCTCCTTTTTTTTCTTAATTTTTTAAATTTTTATTTGAGAGAGAGAGAGATAGCAAGAGCAGGAACACAAGCAAAGGGAGTGGGAGAGGGAGAAGCAGGCTTCCCACAGAGCAAGGAGCCCGATGCAGGGCTCTATCCCAGGACTCTGGGATCATGACCCGAGCCGAAGGCAGATGCTCAACGACTGAGCTGAGCCACCCAGGCGCCCCCCCACCGCCCTCCTTTTTTAATGCTGTGCTCAGTACCTCTTGGTATCCTCTTCTTCTCCTAGATATATAAAAGCTTGCTCCGCGTCCTTCAAGGTCTGGCTCTGCCTTCACCTCCTCCATAAAGCTTTCCCTGCTGTTGTCTATATAGCTCTTTTCCTTCTCTGAACCGCCCTTACGGTTTCAACCGGAACCTCTCTGTAAAGGATGGAAGGTCAACAGCAACAGCAGCAAAAACAATGTGTGCATCTTCACCAGTGAAATTGAAAACTACTCAAGGTCAGGAATCATGTTTACTCTTCCTATGGTGTATTCTTACCAAATTCCCTAAGACACTAGTCCGTGTTTATTGCATCCTTTCTATTCATTCCTAGAAGCAGGCAACCATATTTGGGAATAACAGTTTACATTGGGAAATGCAAAACAGAGTTTAAATGTTTAAAGACCCCAGGGACCTGGAGGATGGACTTTTCCGAGGTAAAAAACGTAAGTGTGTATAAACGATGAACCTTGGTCCTCACACCAAGAGTTCTTCCTGTAACAGCTACAAACCTCGGGTCTTTAGTTTTACTTGGCATTCTTCTTTGGTTTAATAGCCCAATGAAAGTTTTTACCTTGCACCATGTGAGAGATGCGAAATCAAGAATATGCTAATGTAAGCAACAGAGTCAACATGAGGATGGGTGATTTTTTAAAAATGTCACCTGGGTATCTACTTATTCAACAATTCTGCCTTTGCAGGATGAGGGGAGGAGGTGGGAGGAGGAATGAAAACAAGGAAATAGAGAAAAGGCACCCCATTTGTTTAAATGGAAAATTCCATGTTCAGGCTTGTATCATGAAATAAGCAATTGAAAGTAGGTCCTTACTGGTAGATGGGGAGGTGTAGCTGATGAGGTGCATGTTCCCACGTCTCCTGTTCTGTCTAGAGAAACCCCACAAGGCTTTGGAGATTGGAGACCTCTCTGGGAGGTTGGGATCATTTTGGTCTGTGATCTTTGGGCCTTTTCAAGTGTTAATCTCCTACTCTTCGTCTCATCCTGAATTAGAAGTGCATTGACCTCCAGGGAAGTAGGGCAGGGTCAGTGTTTGCTGGGACATTTAGTATTTCAAGTTTGTCAGGTACACAGATCAAACAAACACGCGTCCCCCTTCCCCCTCAAACCTAGTGTTTTTTGCAGGGTTGTTGTTGCTTTGTGTCTATTAGGCTGTATTTGTTATCAGTACCCTGTAGTCATTCAGTCACAAATTTTTTTAAACCACTTTTATTTATTGCAGGGTTCCTCCAGAGCGGCTGCTTACAATGAGAAATCAGGTAGGGTCACCTCACTCCTGTTTCCGAAGATCTCTGCTCAGATCTTTCCTCCGTGGAGAAAGGGGACTATAGAAGCAAAATGTCTCCTCCCTCCCCAGGTGCTCAGGTGTGTGACTGCATGGCACTGGGGACCCAGTGCATGCATCACAAAGGAGACTGCTTCAGGGGCAGTGGGACACCAGCATCCCCAGTGATCCTTGCCTTTGCCCACACGATGTGAAATCTTCGGACCACAGCGCTAGAGCTGATGTTGGCCAGAAGAGGTGACCCACTGACTGTCCCTTGGCTTAGCAAGTGTTGCATGAGCCGAATGGAACCTGCCTGATCATAGGAGTGGCCAACTTGAGATTTTCAGCCAAAGCGCAGACCAGCTGGATTTGTCTATCCATGTGCTGCTTCTTTTAGGTCATTAAGGCCTCCAGAGATCTTTCTAGGTGGCTCAGATTAAAAATGGACGTTGAAGTAAAATGTCATTAATTACGCCATTTTATCGATTTTAGGACTCACAGTTTTTTCACATCTCTGAAATGGGGCTACTCCTTAGCAGTCCGTAGAGCGCCATGGTTTAATTGGCATCATTTTTCCTTTCGCAGTGGCATATAATAACGATGCCCTAAGCTCCGTGAAAACAGTGTCACAGGTTGGGCTCCCCGGGAAGCAGAAAGTGACCTGGAGTTAGGGGTGCACAGGGTTTATTGTGAAAGGACAAGAGAAGAAACCAGATTGGGTAGGTGGAGCCCTCAGACTATAATGAAAACCTGACAAAGCTCTGCCAGCCTGAGAGCGCTCATTTTGGGAGCCCCACGTTGAACATGAATGGCCTTGCTCAGCCACTGATGGGGGCCACCCCTGAGAATAGCGTGACCTTGGCTGGAAAGCTGAAATGGACCCTCAGTGGCTAACCACTAGATACTGTTGCCTAGCCATATTTCCCCTTCATAACTGCCTTGAAAGGGGGGTGTCTGAGCAGCACATCTTGTCCGCCACATACAATAAAAATAACTTTTAGTCAGTTTTAATTCCACCAGATTTGTGCCATGGAACTAGACTATGATGACGAATTATTTACTCAGCACCATCAGTGCTTCCCATACTTGCTGGACCATGCCCGCACAGGAGCATCCTCAACCAGTGACTGATGGCAGTTGGATAAATAGGCCCCAATTTTTTTTACCCCACTGGAGGTATAGCTATGAGACACATGATCTGCACTGCCCCCTAGCGGAGCTAAGCTTCATTTGCTTTGTAACACACCTTTTATTCATTTCCTTCCTCCTCCTGTCTCACTGTCCCACTCTGCCCTCCTCCTCCTCCTCACCCACCCCTGCTGTTTTCTAGGATCGCCTCCCAAATAAACTGACTCTCAAATCCTCATCTCAGAGTCTGCTTCTAAAAGAACCCCAAACTGAGACACTGGCAAAAGCAAACAAGTTAGGAATTAAAGCCTCCATATATATTTGACTCATAATTATGTCCTTTCCAGCAAATGGGCCTTAAGCATGGATGGTCCCAGAGTCACCATTTTTACATAGATTTTAAAAATCTGTGAGTCCCCACAAACATAGTTTTCTCGCCACCATCACTGTGGTGTAGTAGGTACCATTTAGTAGGTACTGTGTGCCAGGCACAAAACTAAGCACTTTACAGGTGACCTACCATGAAAAACTCTTGTATATCCTTGGCCTAATTACATGTCTGGTTGAAAAGGCGGATTAGGAAGGGGGCGAAAGGAAGTTCATCTCACTTTTGCACATGGGAAACTCAGTCTCCTAGCGTGAGGTCGAGTTACACCCTTTTCAAAGGAACCCAGGCTCATTTCTTTAATCTTCTCTACTTTTCCAGAGACTGCCACTCCTGAAGAAGACCACAGCTGGCAAATTCCCATTAATCACAATGACTTCACAATTTTAAAAACTAATGAGAGTCAGCTGTGTGAAGTCCTTCAGCATAAATTTGACTGTGTCTGTACCCTGGTGTCTCCATCCCTGGAGGGTAATGGTGAGTCTCAGCGAGTCTTCAGAGAAATGCTAATTCCTGGGCTCGAGTTATCTGTTTGGAAGGACGACCTCACCAGACATGCTGTTGATGCCGTGGTGAATGCAGCCAATGAAGACCTTATTCATGCGGGAGGCCTGGCCAAGGCCCTGGTGAATGCTGGCGGCTTTGAAATCCAAGAGGAGAGCAGAAGATTAGTTTCCAGAGTGGGTAAAATACCAACTGGTAAAATAGTTACCACAAAAGCAGGGAGACTTCCCTGCAAATTAATTATCCATGCTGTCGGGCCTAGGTGGACAGCAAAATATTATCAGACATGTACCCATAAGCTGCAAGAGGCCATTATAAGTATTCTGAATTATGTTACCTTTATCAATCCAGACATTGAGACGGTAGCAATTCCAGCCCTGAGCTCTGGGATTTTCCAGTTCCCTCTGGACTTGTGTACACAGATCATTGTGGAAACTATCAGCTTTTATTACCGAGAGAAGCAACCGGCCACTAATTTGAAAGAAATTCACTTGGTAAGCAATGAGCATCCTACTGTTGCTGCCTTTAAAAATGCTTCAGAAGTAATCCTAAGGATGAACAAGCTGGGATCCCGCACGAGTCAAGAAGCCACCCCTCCTTTCAAGACAATTATCGTGAACAATGTGACTCTCCAGATTGTCCAGGGCTACATTCAACTGCAGGAGGTAAGTCTTTGTTTCTATTCTCTTGCACTGCCAAAGGAGATCCCTGAGCTGTTTATTACCTATCAAGTAGTTTTAAATATATATATGCTATTTCAGATGCTATTTTTTTAATAAGATTTTATTTATTTATTTGAAAGAGAGAATGAGAGACAGAGACCACGAGAGGGAGGAGGGTCAGAGGGAGAAGCAGACTCCCTGCTGAGCAGGGAGCCCAATGCGGGACTCAATCCCGGGACTCCAGGATCATGACCCGAGCCGAAGGCAGTCGCTCAACCGACTGAGCCACCCAGGCGCCCTCAGATGCTATTTAGAAAGCATCTTGTTAAGGCTAAGAGTATGGACTTCAGAGACAGACCATCTGGGTTTGAACGCTAGCTTTGCCATTTGCTAACCGGGTGATCTCAATCGAGTTATTTTATCTTTTGGACCTTGGTCTCCTGATCTGTAAAATGAGAATAATAATAGCACTTATATCAAAGAGCTGGAATCAATACACATAAAATGTTTAGAATAGAGCTTGGCACATGATAACTATTTATGATTATTATTGCCATTATTCTTAGGCACCAGGAGGAAATAGAACGAGTTTTGATTCCAAGGAACTTAAAATTGATTAGACTTCTTTTATGCAAGAAAAAATTCGCAATTTGAAAAATCCCACTGGGGAAACAAACCATCTGAACATTTCTGAAGCAGCCTATCGAGAGTAAACAAAAAAGTCTTAATACAAAATGAATTCATAATATTTAAGAGTATGTAAATTTATGACAAGAGTGTAGGGCAGTGGACCAAGAAAGATTAATTCAGAAGACAGGAGGAGTTTTGAATCTGATCTCAAGTTATGATCGGTATGAACTGGGTGGTTAGTATGACTTGATCAGAGAGACATAGAAGTGGTGAGAGCCTGAAAATCACGGACTGGACCAGTCAGGAGATCTAAGCGGAGCTGTAAGTTGTATACTTAGGATACTGCTCTCTGTCAGCGGTTGGAGAGAATACAAAGGGTAACTTAGCATTTAGCCAGCGCTTATGGGGGGCCAAAGCCAGGGCCCTGGCAAGGAGGGGAGGGAATCAGGGTAACAGTGAACTTGGGTATTTCTGGGTTGGTGCAGTTCCCCTGCTAGGCAGAGCACCTTAAGGCTGGGGATCATGGCTTATTCATTTTGTATATTATTCACTTTGTAGCCCCAGGGCTCAGTTTGGGCATGCATCTGGGTTTTCAGCAAATTATTGATGCCAAAGTGAAGGGGGCAGCAGGGAAGAGAAAGAATATAAGGCTATATTCTTTTTATTTCTGGATCAGGGATGTCACACTTAAGTTTCTTCTATGGCCACAATCAAATAGACTTAATCGTAAGTGAAAAAATATCATTTCTTTTCTTTTTTTGTTTGTTTTTAACATTTTATTTATTTATTTGAGAGAGAGCGGGCGTGCGTGGGCACACGCAAGCAGGGGGAGGGAGAAGCAGACTCCTCACTGAACAGGGAGCCCGACCTGGGGCTCAATCCTAGGACCCTGGGATCATGACCTGAGCCGAAGACAGACACTTAACCATCTGAGCCACCCAGGTGCCCCCAAAATACCACTTATTTTCTACAAGACAATTAGAAAAGAAGACTAGGGGACCCCACATGATGAAACATTTATTCAATAAGTCATTAATATGCCACTTTAAAATTAAAGTGGAAACATCCTAGTTGAATAACTTACCCTTTAAACTTTTGTTGTATTTCTTTATTGCCAGCAACATTAAGAACCTTAAAAATTTTCAAGGGTGCCAATGCTCCCAAATTGGAAATTCTGATTGCGCTTTCAAAGTGAAGCATTCATTAACGTCCATTAGAAGTACCTGGGTTGCCCGCAAAAGGAACCAAAGCCATCAGGATGATTTAGGGGTGTTTGAGCACTGGGCGGGAGCAGAAGGATACCGTCCCCTGTAGCCCAGGTCTGAGGGCTAACTAAGGGTGATACTAGTGAAAACACAGCCCATGTGTATGCAGTCCATTTCCGAAGAGACAGATGTAGAACTGGTAAAAGTGGTTGCCTGCAGGACAGGTGGGTGCATCGGGCATCCAAGGAACCCAGCAGGAGGGAGGCCTGTTTCCACTGAATACTTTTTTGTCTCGTTTGTATTTTCTTTAACCATGTACTGCTTTCTTTAAGAAGAAAAGCATTAGGAGGTAGAAGTTTCCCAAGAAATTTTATTTCCACTCTCTTTAAAACAGAACAGAAAATTCACACAGAAATAGCAAAAAGTGATGGCAGTGGGGCAGGGGATGAAACCATGTATTGATAAAGGTTAAAACAAATCACAGGGAAAGCTCCAAATCTGGAATATGGCATTATAAGGCAGCAAGGGGCTGACAGACGTTTGCAGTCAGAATTGTATCATCCACACACTTCACCTAATTTCTGAATAGGACAAATGATTCATGGCAATCAAATGGAATTATGAGTTCTATCCACCGTTGATTGATACCTTGTGCAGAACAAACACACAAACAAAAGATGTCTTGTGAATTTAAGTTCTTCAAAAGCATTTTTTCAAAGCTCCTCAGCAAACTGAACATCTAGGAAAAAGTAATTTAACAAGGAATCCTGTCCGTCTTTTTTTTTTTTTTTCCTTTGCAGACAGATGTAATTGTTAATTCTGTAAATCCACTCTGTGGTCTTAGATATGGACCTGTGTCAATATCAATCCTACAACAAGCAGGAGATGAAATAGAATTGGAATTTGGTAAAAAAGTTACTGAGATACAAGATTCTCAGTTCGTATTGGTCACAAAAGGATTTAAATTGCCCTGTCAATACGTGTACCATGTGTTGTGGCATTCAAGATGTTGCAAACAGACTGAGGTAAGTTCACAGTAAGTTTATCTTTATGTAGTTCCATAGTCTACATAGTCTTTGTTGAAGTTCCATCATGTCGTTACATTTATGAAATATTGGTAAGTGGGATAGTCCTCATTTTCTACCACTCTGAAATACAGAAAAAGTGTTGTTGTCACAAGTTATCTTAAGAAATTTAATTTTAAATATTACCTAACCCATGTCTAAATTGTAAGCTGGCATACTGCAAACAGACCTGGAAAGAGTGGGCTCCCTCAGTCTACACACCTGTTTACCTCACCCCTCTGTGACCCTGTTGGCCTTTCCCTAAACGGGCCTGGAATTCAGCCTCTCTGTATTCCCCTCCATCAGTTAAATGCCAGGAGGACCTGGGATTTCCCTTCTAGTATTATTCCAGGTAAATCTATTACCTGTGGTGTCTTCCCACCAATGCCTGAGGTAGAGATTGGCAGATTGGCTTTCTGGCCAACTCTTCACCTGAGACACATAAAACATACACATTAAAGAGTGGGGGGACCCACTCAAATGTGGAGAGAGGGAAACAGTCCCCTTCTCTGTCTTTGTCTATCTTTATTTTGTCACCATTTCTGGTCCTTCTTTGACTAAGAGCCCTCTAATCCCAAACCCGTCCTCCAGTCACTACCTACCCCCCAGTTTTCCAAGGCCCTTCCACAGACAACCTTCCTGTACTTCAGTATGGATGTTGAAATGTTGATGGAAAGTTTAAATCTGCCAAATATATTAGCACTTCTCGAGAAAAAATTACATAGAACATTAGGACATATCTTAAAGATGTTGGATAAAGCTGCTTATGGATTTTTCCCTCTGTGTCCTTTATTAAACTTCCAAGAGCTGTTTGTTTCAACCTGGAAGTGGCAGGTAAATGGGATAAACTGATGGTTGGCTCTCTGACCTGGGGAGATGGACAAGGCTGTATAAACTGGGAGAAATCATGGCGCCCAAACAGACCCCTCAATGACTTCTGTTTCTCATCATCTAACCTTAAGGCTGTCATGGGTTCTCCACGGAGTGGAGCCTTTCCTGCTCTCTAAGGAGGCATGGCCATGACCCTGAGGGAGAGTAGAGGTTGGCATTGTAAGATGTGGGCAGGATCAAAGGGTGAGTAAAGTTTTATTTTGACTCAAAGGCTGATCTATTTTTCCTACAGATACTGAGAATTGCAGTGAGGGAATGTTTGGAGAAATGCCTTGAACTAAATAAAACTTCTATTTCCTTTCCTGCCCTTGGGACTGGAAACATTGGTATACAGAGCAGTATAGCAGCCAAGATTATGTTTGATGAAGTTTTAACTTTTGCCAAATGCCATTTGAAAAAACAATTAACTGTAAAGTTTGTGATCTTTCCAGAAGAACTGGAGACATATATGGTAAGTTAATATTTTAGAAATGTCCTATAGTTCATTCATTCATTCATTCATTCAATAACATCATGTAAGACATGAGCTAAGCCCTGTACAGCACAGTGATGTTCTAACTTGGTGAATTTAATTTTTTTTTTAATTGCCCACCTTTGACCTAGTAAAGACTGTCATTAAAGCAGCAATGTTACCCTGCTACCTAACTTCCCACTTTTCCTTTGTTGGCCTTTATTCTCCCCCTGCTCCTCAAAGGTAAGCAACCTTTTAGTTTCAGTCTGGGGTCCTCTGCCCCTCACTCTTCTCTCCTGCTCTGAGAACACAAGTATTCTTTTTTTTTTTTTTTAAAGATCTTATTTATTTTTTGACAGAGAGAGAGACAGCGAGAGTGGGAACACAAGCAAGGGGAGTGGGAGAGGGAGAAGCAGACTTCCTGCGGGGCAGGGAGCCCAATGCGGGGCTCAATCCCAGGACCCTGGGATCATGACCTGAGCCAAAGGCAGACGCTTAATGACTGAGCCACCCAGGCGCCCCGAACACAAGTATTCTTACAGTTTCTGCAAAGTCCTGTCTTCTGAGCCACCTTCAGACCCATACACCTAACCCTCTCTCATTTCCACTTGGTTATTCGATTGTCATCTTAAATCCAGCATATTTAAAACAAATTTTTTGCCTTCTCCTCTCCAGTTGGTCAACTTCTTGGGGCAAGTTAATATACTTTTCTGTGCTTCAGTTTCCTCATCTTTAAAGTGGGATAATAGGGGAGCCTGACTGGCTCAGTCAGTAGAGCACGCAACGCTTGATCTCGGGGTCGTGAGTTCAAGCCCCACTTTGGGCGTAGAGCTTATTTGAAAAAAAAAAAAAGTAAAATAAAGGGAGGATAATAACTACCATCCTCTGGAGCTGTTGTGAGCATTAAATGAGTTAATACACATAAAACACTTAGAATGGTACCAGGCACCCAAGGAAGCCCTCCATGAAGGCTGGCTGTTGGATCAGCTGTCATGAACTGTAATTCAGAGTGCTGACCTGAAGATGAAACCAAGTGACTCGTTTGTTATCTTTTCTTCCCAATTAGATTATTAATTCTTTCACACAGAGGTATCTTTGACCACTTTTGCCATGTCCCCAGTACTGTCCCCAAATTCAGTCAATTGTTTAACTTCTCTGTAGGTGACCCCGAGGGAAGTCAGTTGTGGTCTGATACAAAAGGGAGGAACGAGTGTGTAGGGGAGTGTGTCCGTGTGTCTGAGTGCAGAGATTTGTGTGTCCAGCTTCTTTAGTTTTCACTTCACCTCAGCTTTTTGTTTTACAGTAGGCAGATTAACCTGAGTTTCTAACATGTGAGAAGGTCCCTGATATATTCAGCATAATTAGTATATAGTGCTGTGCTGTTCCGCCTTTAAAGTACCATCTCTGGGCTTTAATTCTCGCTTAGCTGGCACTTCGAGAAGGGGCTGTCATGATGTTAAGGAAGAATAAAAAAGGAAAGGAATAAGATACAGCAACTTAAAATGGATTTTCAAGACAGGTTTCTGATTCTGCCAATGGCAACATCCAAGTGCTAGCGCAAGCTCCCAGGCGTGGGTCTGGGTTTTGGGTAGAAAGGGCCTTGCTCGGTGCCTGGCAGACAGAGTGGCTCTGAACACTAGTCCTCTGACTGCTCACTCTTCTACCTCACAGCCTGTCTCCAGGTGGATGGTTGCCATTTTCTCTCTCCCTACAAGAAAACAAACTCATACTTGTTCTGGCTTCCACTTTCCTGCAACAAGTGTTAAGGTTCTTATTCCTTTTGCTGCTTGACTAGGCACAGGGAGGTTTGTAGCGTTTGTTGATATTCATTGCCGACATCTCTGAAGGTGCAGTTAGGAAGAGATGCCCACGGTGAGCTCTCATTAGCCAATGTCAGCCAGCTCCAGGACACCAGTGTGTCTCTTCCACAGCTGACCTGCCAGCCAGTTACCCAGTGAAGGAGCTCACCTTCCAGACACAGTGAATCATCCTGTCTTGCAAATGAAGTTCCCCCTAAAGCAGAGCTCGATCGATGGGCCCAGATAGATGGCCCAAGCGCATCCCTGAACGGCTCAGGAAGTACCATCTTCCTACAAGGGGGATGAACTGCATCAGAAAAGAAGGTTCTTTCTCTTCAATACATAAACAAAAATGTATGTGGCAGTTCAAAAAAAAAAAAAATAGTAAGATCAACCACAATCTGAGGGCTCCCCTAGGTGATAATAATAAAGATAGCTGCCATATATTGCATCAGCCAGGCACTGTGCTAAGGAGAAACTGTAGAACAATCTTTTCAAGTGCATTTCTGTTTTATTAATTACAAGAGCATCTGCCTATTTTTGTCTTCTCCGGTGACATGGCCGCAGCCTTGGTTCAGTGCCTAATATGCAATAACCAGAGCATTAATATTTGTGGAATGAACGAATGGTTACATTTTGCCTTGGGATATACATATACATTCTTTTTTTTTTTTTTTAAACCAGGTTTTGGTTTTCCTTCCGGTTTTTCTATACTTGTTTCCCCTAGGTGTTCTAATAGATCGTGGTACGACGCAATTTGGTGCTGTGATTGCTGTTTCCTAGGACTTTCCAAAAGGCTGCTGTAGATCTGTGGCAGTGGGGATGGGGATTGACAGAGTGGATGAGGCCAAGTGTGGTTTATGCAGGTAGGAAGGGGGATTTTGATGACAATGGCTAAAAGCCCCACTTACGACTGCTCTGTTTTGCTTCTTATAGGTTTTCAGCGCTGAAGTGGAAGAGAGAAAAACCAAGCTACGTGATTTCAATAATTACAGTGGTGAGTAAGAAATTCACCGGCCTAGAAGTAGGGTCCACCCACCAGGGGCTCATCCTGTTCTTCATCATTTTAACTAATAGAAGGGACAAGAAGAAGAAATAAGCCAAATATATTTTCTCCTGTTCGGATACTAACTTGCTCGGTATCTGAACATGATTCTATTTTTGCCCAGTCCAGTTTCGTGATAGGAATAGAGAGAGGCTAAGCCACAGTGCGTAATCCACAGTGTGGGTAGTTCCTTCATAGATAGCTCTCTATAATTTTTCTCTAAGAAAAATTCTGCCCCTCAATAAGCTGACTAAGCCAGTTACTCTTTCCGCTCTGAATGGGATCACATCTAAATGGGGTTACTCATTAGCCATTATAGAAAACACATCTCAGTCATACCAGATAATAATAAATGAATTTACCTGATGCTACCCAAACCTGAGAATCACTAGGATCATGACAGAAACTTTAAACAAATAAACAAACAAAAATATGTATGGCCCCCAATTCTACATATTCTGACTCAGGAGCTCTGGATCAGGGCCAAGCATGCATATTTTTCAGGAGCTCCTAGTCAGTTTTGCTACTGAACCAGAATTGTGGATCACTGGACTTAACTAACCCTGGTTGATGTTGGAGAAAGATTGACTGTGTTGTATAACTCCTTTCCTTTAGTGGAGTTTGAGTTGATGGAATTGAAATGGCCTCATGACAACTGGGACGTATATACTTCTGAAATAGTCTTTTGATCTACAGTAGTCTATAAATGTTAAAAACACTAGACATTCAATGAGCAATAGAAGCTGTTAGGGTATTTCCCATGAGGGTCACAACAATTTGCTTATACACTTTAACAGAAGAGCTCATGTATGGACGTGCTCTGGTCCAGTGGTGTTGGAAATTAAGGAGGGGGTACTTGAAGAGCTGTGGTTTGTGACTGTGCCTCTTATGAACCTGTTCATTTATCTGTGAAAGGAGGATAATGACAGACTTTTGTCAGGATAATTGGAGATTATGTACGTCAAAATGTTCTGTAAATTGCAAAGCATTAAACGAAGGCCAAAGAATAATGAATGAGAGGCTGGACGAACTACCTAGAGGGCCCAGAGGAGGGGGAGAGTCCTTCTGACCTGAAGGGGTTGAGAATGGCTTCCTGGACGAGTGGTTCTAAGTTGGCCTTTGAGGATGGCAGGTTTTCAATGGCTAGAGCTGGTGGGGTGGGGCACCCAAGGCAAAGAAAATGCAGAGAAGCAAACAAATGCAGTGCATATGTGGGGAACAAGACTGAATCTAAGGAAGGTAGATAGGAGGCTTAGGTGAGGACAGTATGGAAAAGGAACATACACATGTCTCTATGTTATTTGTCTGAATAATAGGGCCAGGAGTTAACATTTACTTCAGTCATTTTTAAGGACATCTATAAAGGAATTATAATTATAGCGCAAGACAATAATTGACATTAATAATGGCTAATGGTGATGATCTCAGATTATCAAGGAAATGTTAAACTATTTAGGAAGGCAGGGAAATGTGTTTTCATTAGAAATATTTAACTAATAAATATTTACCTAATAAACTAAGTAATTTAACTCATAAATATTTAACTAATGTATTTGGTGCTAGAAGTGTATCCTTTAGTGATCTGAACAATTAGTTACCCAGAAGAACAATTCCCCCCCCCCCCGGTAATGATGGATAAATGAAGTATCACCATGTCTTGCTTCTATTTTCTCCTAAAAAGTAATATAAACTCCCAGGCAGAACAAGGGTTAAAAAACAAACAAACAAAATCCCTATGCCTCCAATTTAAGAACACGTGTCACTTCTATTGTCCAAAACATTGGCTTTTTTTTTTTTTTAAACTCAGACCCTCTCTTACTTCTGGGTCTCTCCTGGTACTGTTACCACCCATCAGGGGGAAAGATGCTAATTACCACTGCTAACCTCAGATCACTTACAGGGAGGCAGAATTATGTGAGTACTAGAGTCAGACTGCCCACACCTACTAGTCCTATAACCATGGGCAAGTTACTTAATAACTCTGAAGAAGTTTCCTCATTTGTAAGATGGAGCTGTTGATAGTACTTAGAAGGTTGCGAGGAGTGAACAGAATAATTTATGTGAAGCACTTAGAACAATGCCTAGAACATAGTAGTTGCTCAATTTACTTTTCCCCTTCAAAATATGTTTCTGAGATTCATCCAAATAGCTAAAGTTCACTCCTTTTCATTGCTATAATAATATTCCATTGCTGAAGGACATGTGGGTCATTTCTAGGTTTTTGCTGTTACAAAAGAGAAGGTGAGCTTTCTTATACCTATCTCCTGATACACACATACAAAAATTTCTTTACAAAATATAATTATGGGAGTAGTTTTTCCAGTTTTATATCCATCATAAATATATACAGAAGTTCCAGTTGCTCTATATCCTTCCCAACCCTTAATATCTCAGACTTATTGTTTGCCAATCTGGTGGATAATTTTTCATATCCCTGGTTGCCAGCGAAGGTGAGCATCTTTTCACACATATCTGGGCCATTTGTGTTTCCTTTTCTGTGCAATGTTTTGCCCAGCTGAGTACTAGGTTCTTCCTTTTTCTTGATAACTTGAGAGAATTCTTTATATGTTCTAGATAGTGCCTCGCCTGTGAATTTCCTCTCATCTAGTCCATTGCCCGCCAACTTTTTTTTTTTTTTTTTTTTTTGCAATTTGGGTTGAGAGTTATCCTAATCCATCAGAGAGTCTACTTTTTTATATATATCTTTGCTCCTTATGGAGGGGGATTGTAGAGAAGGGTACACGTGGGTGGGTTGGAATCAAGTTCCCTGACCTTTTCTGCTGGGAGATACCATGTCAAGCAGTAGAAGCTGCTAAGCTCCAAATTCCGTGGAGGCGTAAAATGTCCTATTACATACGGATAAGATATGAAAAGGAATTCCAGTTAGTAGAGTTATGGGTATATCTTCCTTTCATTAAACTTGGATAATTTTCTAATTTATCAAAAATAAATGTATTATTTTTATAATCAGAAATACATATTTTTCAAAAGGAATTTTCACTCTTTAAGCTGTATGGCTTTCAGAGATGTTTGATTTCAAACTCGGTAGTAGCAAGAGGTTAAGGAAAATCTCAGTCAGTGGGACATAAAGGCATACCTCATTTTACTGTACTTTGTTTTATCGTGCTTCACAGATGCTGCCTTTTTTTTTTTTTTTTTTTACGAATTGAAGGTTTGTGGCAACCCGACATCAAGCAAGTCAATTGGTGCCATTTTCTCACTTCATGTCTCTATACCACATTTTGGTGATTCTCACAATATTTCAAACTTTTTCATTATTATTGTGTTTGTTATGGTGATCTGTGATCAGTGATTATAACTCGCGGAAAGCTCAGATGATAGCATTTTTTAGCAACAAAGTATTTTTAAATTAAGGTCGGTACATTGTTTTTTAGACGTAATGTTATTGCATGCTTCCCAGACTAGAGTATAGTGTGGACACAACTTTCATATGCACTAAAGAACCAAAAAATTCATTTGACTTGTTTTATTGCAATATTCACTTTATACGGTGGTCTGGAACCCGACCTGCATCTCTGAGGTATAATAGTGGGTTAACATCCAGGTTGATTTCACAAGATTAACTCATCTGTGAACTGACAAATGCAACATAGCAGGGGCAAGGCATGATAAAACCAACCCCTTTCAGGCTAAACTCTGCTCTCAAGGAGACTGGAAACCATATATTTAGATTTCCTTCATATCTAGCACAGCAATCAGAGATAGGCACTTAATTGAAGCTGCTGTTGCTGGCAATGGTCATAATGTCCTCGGGGCAAATATTGGCCTTGGTGTTTTGTTCTGCTCTGGTTTAAAACCCACCTGCCTTCTGTGGATGTTTATGACAGTCTTTTCAGTCCCCCAGTTGACCAGAGAGGAGAAAAGAGAAAATGGGCTCAAAGCTAAATCTCCTGCCATCAGTCTGATGGGATCCAACCTGGAAAAGATGAAGGAGGCCCAAGCGTGGATCCAAAGGATACTGACCCCCCAGGACCACCATATCATTGAGAACAATCATATCCTCTACCTTGGGAAAAAGGAACATGACATTTTGACTCAGCTTCAGAATACCTTAAGGGTCTCTATCTCAGAGATTATCAGTCTGGAGAAGGCAATTTTAGAGATTAAAGGAGCCCAAGCTGACGTCATTGAGGTCGTTATGAACATTGAACTTATGCTGTGTGAAGTTCAAGAGGAGATGGCAAGAAAAAAGGAGCTAGCCCTTTGGAGCTTGTCAGGTGAGTAACTTCAAGTCGGAAAGTCAGCTCTTGCAACTATTCCTTATGGGTGTGAATGCGTCTGTATGTATGTGGGTCAGAGATAGCATGGAAGAGAGAGCAAATCATGCTGGTTCTGTGTTAAGCCATAACCTTTTATAACCGTTTTTTGGCTGTCTTTCTACCAGCAGGGTTAATTAGTAAATGAACACACACACACAACGCACACATGCACGTGCACACACATGACTGGATTTACTTATAATGAAATGGATTGCCTAAGAGGCAATTAAATGGAAAGCCTCCAGCAACGCAAGCCCAGGTTCTGGGGGGAAAAGTACATCCCTAATTCTACAAATGGAGCATTCAAATACAGACACATTCCACCTGATTAATTCATTTATTTGAGTTTTCTTGCATTTACGTATCTGCTGCTGGCAGCATTAGGAACCTTAAAATTACTTTGAGCTCTCTCACCAAAGTAAACTATTCATTCATGCTGTGAAGTACACTCAAGTATCTCCCATTCAATGGGGCAAAAATTCATCATGATGACTGGGAATTTGGGTCTGGAGAGGTCCTTTTAACATGGTCCTAGAGCTAACTAGGAAAATTACACTGTTGTAAATGCCACCTTGGGATACAGAAGCTTATTTCATTTATTTACTGGACTGATGTATACTGTATCCATGATATGTGCCAAGCATGTGGTGGGTGCTGGGGATACAATAATAAGATGGACATTGTTTCCACTCAAAATCTAATTGAGGATACTGAGAAGCAAGCAAGTTAATTATGAAAGAGGAGGGTGAAAATGCTCTGTGGGAGCACCTCGGACAGGCACTGTGATGTTGCAATTTAGAATATATACATTTCGTCATTCAGATGATCAAAACATTTGTCACATATATTTGGCCTCTATCCACATTTCTGGCTTACAGCTCTCAAAGCCCTTGGATTTCCTGAGTGTTGAGAGTGATAAGGATGTCTTTTGTTACATTAAGGAGGTGACTTTGGAAAGCGCCTAAGGATGGGGACTGGTTGCCGGGAGACCCAACTTGTGATTGAGGATTGGAACTTTCGGTATCCCCCAGCCCAAGCTCTGGGGAGGGCGCTGGAGGTTGAATCAGTTGCCAATGGTCAATGATTTAGTCAGCTGTGAGTAGCTAATGGACATCCATAAAAACCCAGAAGGACAGGTTCAGAGAACTTCCAGGTTGGTGAGCACGTGGAGAGCTAGGGAGTGTGGCTTGCTGGGAGAGAGCATGGAAGCTCTGCACTCTTTCCCGCTTCCTTCCTTGCTTTATGCATCTTTTCAGTCTGGCTATTCCTGAGTCATATACCTGTATAATAAACCAGTAATCTAGTAAGTAAAATGTTCCTCTGAGTTCTGTGAGCTGCTCTAGCAAATTAATTGAACCCGAGGAGGAGATCATGGGAACCTCTGACTTATAGTTAGCCAGTCAAAAGTACAGGTAACAACCTGAACTTGAAACCGGTGTTTGAAATCCAAGGAGCAGGTCATTGGAACCTTCAGTTCATAGCTAGTCAGCCGGAAGCATGGGTAACAACAGTCTGGCTTTCGACTGGTATCTGAAGTGTGTGTGTGTGTGTGTGTGTGTGTGCGTGCATGCGTTGGGGAGCAGTCTTGTAGGACTGAACTCTTAACCTATGGAATCTGATGCTATCCTTGGGTAGATAGTAGCAGAATTGCTTGGTTGTATATATGGGAAACCCTCTACACACACAGACATTGGAATCGGGTCTCAGAATACCAATTTAGACACCTAACCCAGACCTGGGAGGTCAAGGGGAGCCTTCTCAGAGGAGGTGTCATAAATGGAGAAGGAAGAATAGGTAGAAATTAGTAAGGTAAAGAAACTTTGAAGCAATCAGACCATGGCAGGGTCTAGATTATGAAAGACTTTAGAAATCACATGAGAGTTCAGAGTTTTTCTTGAAACAAGGGAGAGCCTTGAAGGATTTTAACAAAGATAAGGTGAGTTTCACTGTAACGTTGATGGGTTTGGTACAAAAATTCTGATGCAAATTTTCAAAGGACACCTCATTTTCACCTTGTGTTTGTAAAAATAATTCAGGTAGACATGGTCAAAGTGAGTGGGAGTTTACAGTAAGTGTTGTATCCACATTCCTTAGAAAACCCAATGTCAAAAAACATGGACAAAAATAATACACAAGAGGGGTGCCTGGGTGGCTCAGTGGGTTAAGCATCTACCTTCGGCTTAGGTCATGATCCCTGGGTCCTGGGATCGAGTCCCGCATCGGGCTCCCTGCTCCGCGGGGAGCCTGCTTCTCCCTCTGCCTCTGCCTCTCTCTCTCTACCTCTCATGGATAAATAAATAAAATCTTAAAAAAAAAAAAGAATGAGACCAAAGATTATGATTTCTACTTAGCTTTTGAAAGGTAATGACTGTGGGTATTTAAACTAACACCAGTATACTTCCCAAGAGAACAAGAGACAAACACTGGTCTATAAAGCTTGTAGCATGACTTTAAACTCACTGCACTCGTAGGGTTGACCCATTCTCCCGACTATTGGCAATTAGCCCTGTGAGTCCCTTGTTCTGCTGCAAGGTGGCACTTTTGATAGTTGATGACTAAGCATATCATTCCACAGCTGTGTTTCCGAGGCTCCTACACACTGATCCTCTCTCAACTAGATTAGGACCTTAGTTAACAAAATGGATAAATTTTCAATGAGTTATTACTACAAGGAACATCAACTAACTATCCATTAGAGCGATACAATTTAAATAATGGAAGTTAGGTGTTTCCTCTTTTATGCTGCCATTGTAATCCTTCCTGGGGAGTGCTTCTGACAGTAGGAGTTTGTGGATCTTTGAGTCTCTGGTGTCCAACCCAGCACTGGACAGGTAATAGGAGCTCAGTAAATGTTTGCTGAACTCAGGTGAACTGAACTCTGTTACTATACTTTATAAAGGTCAGCTGTTGCTCTCGAGATTTAATTTATAGTATCTTCCTTTGAAATTTCCTGGCTTTGGAGTTTCTCTGATATGGAATTTTGTCCCCCCTGTTTCCCAGATTTACAACTTGGCCCCTCTAGTGAATTTCTTTGGATTTATCATCTGCTTTCTGTGGTTAAATAATGTGCTGGGAATTATGTCATTTTTGTTTACTTGGGTTTAAGTCAAACTGAAAATAATCTGAGGGGTGCCTGGGTGGCTCAGTTGGTTATCGAGCCCTGTATCAGGCTCCCTGCTTAGCAGGGAGTCTGCTTCTCTCTCTCTCTCCCTCTGCCCCTCCCCGCTGCTCATGCTCTCTCTCTCAAATAAATGAATAAAATCTTTTAAAAAGAAAATAAGTCTGTTTGTTCGCCTATATGTATATTTATTCCAACAAGGATTTGCTAGGCAGTAACAGGTTGTCCCTTGAACTTAAAAAGGAAGGTAGGAAAGTTAAGGGAGAAGGGACAAAGGAAGGAAAAAAGGAAGGAAGGGAGGGAAGACAGGACACCATAAACTCTTAATCTCCAAAGTTTGCTCTTTGTGGTTGGGTGCATATGAGTGATATATGTACCAAATATTTTGCCTTGCCAATTGCAGAAAGCACCGGTGAAAGCCAGGTTTGTTTTAGCTGTGTGATATTGGGCAAGTCACTTAACTTCGAGTTTCAATTTCCTTATTTGTAAAAGTGTGTTAATTGTGTCAGTGGTGGTGTTGTAATGCTCAAATGAAGTTGAGATATGAAATCTTTTTGAAAATCTTGAAAAAGTTTTATATAAATGTCATACTATTTTTCATCATTCCTTAATGTGTTGTTATGCCCGTATCTTTTTGTTGATGAGCATCCTGGCCAGAAATATAAACATTTCCTATTAGCAACACAATTATATATCATCATTACAACATTGATGGGGGAAGTATATGCTAATGCTCCTTTTTCTCTCACTCCCTCAGCCTCTTAATCCAAATCATGTGAGGACAAATTTATTAATCCCCTCTTTTATCCTATGCCTTCTCATTATATTGTACTCTCCTTGCATGTCCTAAACATATAAGATATAAGCCATACAGTTTAAACTGGCTAATCCATTCCTTTAAATTTCTATAACTTGTTTTATTAAATTTCTTTTTTTCTTTTTTTTTTAAGATTTTATTTATTTATTTGAGAGAGAGAGAATGAGAGACAGAGAGCATGAGAGGAGGAGGGTCAGAGGGAGAAGCAGACTCCCCGCCGAGCAGGGACCCCGATGCGGGACTCGATCCCGGGACTCCAGGATCATGACCCGAGCCGAAGGCAGTCGCCTAACCGACTGAGCCACCCAGGCACCCCTATTAAATTTCTTTACAAGCATTTTTCCTCTCACAGAGCACTGAGACAAAGTTTTGTGTTACTCATTTTTAGGACAATGGACTGATTGGCAACCCCAAAACCAGGATGAAATGAAAAGGAATACATTTCTGAGATGCCTAAAGCTTTCAGCGGAGGAAATTCAGGATCAGAAGAAACAGTTTGAAAACTGTGGTTTGCAGGTTATAAAGGTATACTTAATTAAGGGAAGGATTTGACTTGTCTTGCTCTCACTTGGTTCTGTAACCAAAAGAAAAACTCACCTGCTGATGACTCTAAGCCAGCTGCTCATTGACCTGGACCCCTAGGATTAAGACTGAAAGGCGGGCAGGGGTGGGCAGGCACAAAGGGTGTAGTTGGAATCAGGAGGTAGGAATGATGTCAGGACATCACTGGAAGCACCGATCAAGTGTCAGGGCAAACTTCTCTGCCTATCTTGAAGCAACATGAAAAGAAATGGAATAGCATGTATCACACTGTATTATAATTGTTTACCTATTTTTACCTCTCTCTAAACTGTGAGCTTTTAAGAAGGCAAAGACTGTCTACACTGTTGACCATTTCATTACCAGTGCCTGGCATGTAGGGATTGCTCAGTGAATTTTTATTATATGGATTTATCAAAGAAGGGACAGGGAATTTTGAAGAGACAGAAGTCAAAGTAGGAGAGGGGTGGGGTCAGGAGAGACTCTTAAAACACTTTATATGAAAAGCAAGTTGCATGCCAAGTAATATGCACATAAGATCCTTTCTCTTTGAAGTAGAGTATCAAGCAATGTAAATAGTGGTTCTCACTTTTTCCTAGTTTTTTTCAGTTTTTCATATCCTTGGGTCATAGGTGGAGAAAATAGACAACGCGGTTCTCATGGCTGTCTTCCAAAAAAAGAAGAAAATGATGGAAGGGAGAACACATGGGAAGCCTGTGAGCCACAGGCTGTTTCAGCAAATTCCCTACCAGTTCTGTGAAGCGGTATGCAGAGTTGGCTTTCAAAGAATGTACTCGGCGCCCCGCGGTAGGTGTCAGCCCCTCATCTTCAGGGCCTCTGTATGTGGGGATTGGTGAGCAGACCTCAGCAGATGACTCATCACTCATAGTATTTGTTGCTGTGGTGAGGGAGACCCTTGCAACTGGGATATAGTGATCAAGTAATTTGGAAAGGGTCATATTTTTTGTTTTGTCCTTCATATGTTTTGTTGCTGATGCGTTTAATGTTGATGAAAGCTTTAGCGGTAAGATCTACAGTTCACTGTTTTTCTCTTTTCTGTGGTTGTGTGTTTTATCTGCAGAGAGCACCCAGAAGCTTTTTTTTGGCTTAGCTCCACAAAATTATTATCAACACTACCAAACCTCATCCCTTAATTAAAAGGGCATTTTCCTGAACTTCATAAGTTGCTCTTTTCTCTTCCATCTTCTTCATTTCCTGTAGCCTGCTAGTGAATGAATTAGAGAGCATCTGGAGGTGAAGTAAACAATATCTTAAGATCCTTTTCAGCTATGGGAGTTCTACTATGTGTAGCTTCCATGTCTCTTTTCAGTTGTACAACAATATTGCATACTTAATTGCTGTTTTGTCCCCTTTAGATCTCTCCAAAGGAGACAAAGATGTTTAGTAATAATCATGGAGGATACCTCGCCATGTGGCTTGATTTTGCCTGATCCATTGACTATGTTCTTGATCTTTACCTTTCAAAATATATAGCATGATCCTTGCTGAATGCTGTCAGGCTACTGACAGCCAGGCTTACAGTTTCTTCAGCAACACGGTTCCTTTAAAACCTCAGCAGGCATGAAGCCTGTTTACTTCTGGTCAATTTGTATCTTTAAAACCCAGCCAAAGGTCTTGTCTCCATCTAGTCTTTAAGCCTCAAGATTCGGGTCTTTTACCTACTGGCCTCTGTGCTCTGTCCATGTCCCTAGCTCTTAGCTTAAAGCCACTGCCTGAGGCGATTCAGATAATAAACTCATTGGGGAGATACTGTCCATAATGTGACTTGAGCCAACATGTCTGGTGAGCGTGCTTAACCAAAGGTGCTTGAGAACCAGGAGACATTTTATCACCACTGAAGTTGTTTTGCAACTCTTCTTTTTTAACCTAGTTTTCATATGGAGTACAAAGGTTCTTGGTTTTTTTTTTTACCCCTGCAAATTTCCAAATTATGGGACTCTTGGTCAATTTAGATGGCCAACTATAGGCAAAGGGGGCTTCTATTAATGAAGCTTTATATATTTATATTTTCTATCTTGGCTTGCATTCCAGCCAGTTCTGTATTCATCTCCTGCTTGTAGGACTTGGCTGAATAGAGCAAGAAGGAGCCTCCATGCTTGCAGTTGTTCTTACTGGGTTCATTCATTCATTGCACAAGTGTTTCTTGAGCACATTCTGTAAGTCAGCCCCTGTGCTAGGTAGGAGGAATACAACAGTAAAACACAAAGAGTTCCTGCCCTTGTAATTTATAATCTAGTGAGTCCACCTGTTGGGTGTTTTCTGGCGTTCTAAAGGAAGCTTTTTTTTTTTTTTTAACTCTCCTATGTCCACCTCCAGATGCTCTCTAATTCATTCACTAGCCTATACCTATAGCTTCAACTCCTACCTCTGTGATGGCTTACAGATTTGTAACTCTAACCCCCTTCCTCTCTCCTGACCTGTAGGTCCATATTTCCAACTGTCTTTTGAGTATTTCTGCCTAGATGTTCCATAGCCACCTCAGACTGACTTTTTTCCTTGGCCATACTTTTCCCTAAGAAACAGGTGCTTCCTCCCACCCCCACCCCTGATACTCCCTAACCTGACTAATACCATCACCATCTATATACCAAGTCCCCAACTGGAAAGTTTGTCATCTTCCATTCCTTCCTTCCTCTTACTCTAGGTTCAGGCAGTCACACAGCCCTGTTAGTTCCCTCTTGACGACATTCTCAGCCCAGCCTCACCTCTCTCTTCCTGTTGCCTTTGTTCTTCTTCCCCTGGGCCTAGATGATGACCAGGTCCTTTCCTTCCCTCAAAACCACAGCCCTATCCAACCTATCCTTTTCTCTGCTTCCATAATTGTCATGCTAAAAACATACATGCTTGTTTAATAATATCTGCCTTCCTAGTTGCCTACAAGGTAAAACTCCCACCTCATTGGCAGAGCATGTAAGGACCTAGCCGCCACCCCCCCACTCCACCCCTGTTATTTCCTCAACCTCATCACTCACTGTGTTCATCCACACTTCAGCCAGGAACTGCTCAGTTTCCTAATGTGCTGGATATTTCATGCCTCTATGCCTTTGCCTATGGAAATGCCTTCCCTCCTCACCCCTTTTTTAGCCCTGCAAAGTCCTACTCCTTCTTCCAGACGTATCTCAAATGGCGTCTCCGGGTGGACACCTTCCCTCACTCCTGCAGGCCCAGGAAGTCGCTTCCTGCTCTTGCTTCCGGACTTCCTACATTCCTTTGTTACCACATCTGTAACTCCTACAGGTACAAAAATCTACAGTTCCACAAAACTCAGGTGTGGGGCTTGTCTTCTTTATAGCTCTAAAATGGAACTTTACCTACCTTTCATGCTCCCATGTCTACAGAGGTGGAAAACTCCCATCTTGACAGCTCAAGATGAACTCAGTCATTTTCAGAGTTTTCTTAGTCCCTTTGGGGTTTAAACTCAGTTCCTGCAAGTTTTTTTCTCCTTCTTCTCTTCTGAGAGTGCTTTAGATGATGGGACAGGCACTGTGGGAAGAGTGGTCTCGTTCTGCATCTGTCTGTTCTCTGTCTCCAGATGTCCTCTGCTGGAAAAACCACCCTGGGCTTTGGTCATTAGCACCCTCCTGTGCTTAAATTTATGGTGCTCTTTGTTCTTAGTGTCTACACAGGGCACTCTGTTTTTCATGCCGAGGGAATTCCTTTCTGGGCCATTGTCTGTGCCCCTCCTGCAGCGCAGGAAATTTTTGTGTGTGCACATCCTCCAGGCTGAAATGCAAGGTCTTGTGTGGCATTCTTCACCTGTTCTGGACATCTTCTCCAGCCGTTACTGCTTTCCACTTAGCGGCCATGCTGGATGAGGGGGCTGCACCCAGTAGAGTCACACGATGGTTCCTTTTACTCTGGAAGTCCCCTACTCCCTGTTTTTCTGAGGTTCTTGTTGTTCTGCCCTATCTTGACTCCCAGGGCTCTCTTGAGGGAGTGGGGCAGTGAACTGAGTCCCTTCTCAGAGTCCCCAAGAGTTCTAGTCATGTCCTCTCTGTTTCTTTTCTTTCCACCAGGTGGAAGGAAGAACTTTTATTTATTTTGAAGTGACATAACTATTCTAAGAATATCTTTTATCCTTCTCTCCTCTGTTACATATGGCATAAACTCCATGCTCTGAATCCTTTAGGTTTTTAGACTTCTGGTTCAAAAAACCCTTTTCCTCTCTCAGAAAACCTTTCAAGACCATAATCTATGCTTTGATTAAAAATAATTATATATGCTATATGGGGTGTCTGGGTGGCTCAGTCGGTTGGGCCTCTGACTCTTGGTTTTGGCTCATGTCACAAGCTCAGGATCCTGGGATCAAGCCCCCGCATCATCTCGGGCTCCGTGCTCAGCAGGGATTCTCCTTCTCTGCCCTCTCTCCCTCCTCCTCTGCTCCTCCCGCTTCTCACATTCTCTAAAATAAATTTTTTAAAAAATTATATATGATATATATACATATATATATATCCAATTTATATATATTCAATTGACTTTGTTCTGAGCTTTATCTTTTTTACCCCTGACATAATAAGTAGCAAGAACTCAATGGGTGGAAGAACCAAGAGCAAGAGGAAATTTCCAGGAAAGAAATCTTTGATTTTTATCTCAAAATATTTTTTTCTCCACATAAAATTGTGCTGTACTTTAACTGTTTACAAGTGGGGAGTTCCATTTATAAAATTTTGAGAACAGAGGTCATGTCTTAGTCATTTTTTGAAGCCTTAGAGCTGTATTGTCCAGTTGGTAGCCACTAGCCACGTGTGGCTACTGAGCACTTAAAATGTGGTTAATCTGAATTGAGATGTGCTGTAAGTGTAAAATAGACACTGATTTTAAAGATCACTACCCAAGGAAAGAATGTAAAATATCTCCTTAATAATTTTTATATTGATTACAAGTTGAAATGATAACATATTGGATATCATAGATTAAATAAAAATTAGTAAATTAATTTTACCTGTTCCTTTTTACCTTTTTATCTGGCTACTAGAAAATTTAAAATTACATATATGGCTTACATTGAACTTCTGTTGTTCAGTGCTGCTCTCGAGTCTGCAACAATATTCCATTAAATCCGAAGTAAATGTAAAGAAAAAAATAGGGAGGGAGGAAGGAAAATTAAAAGGAAGGTAGGTGTATAAATGTAAGCTATTATTAGGCTGATGATACCAATGATAATTTGTTTCAAGAGAACAACTGTAGGTGTCTTTGCTACAGACAGGGACTTGGAACCAGGAGGTGGTGATTATTTGGAGGACTAGAGAGAGACTACATAGTAGTACCCACATAGGCAATATGATTCATCAGATCCTAATAATCTTTTAACTTTTTTTCTTTTATCAGACCCAAAATACGGAGTTGGTATATACTTCACCAAGAACCTGAAAAACCTAGCATACCAGGTCAAGAAAACATCAGCCATAGATGAACTGATATATGTGTTTGACGCTGAAGTACTCACAGGCTCCTTCTGTCAGGGTCATCAGTTACATATCGTTCCCCCACCACTGAGTCCTGGAGACACAGATTGCCATGACAGTGTGGTTGACAATGTCTCCAGCCCTGAAACCTTTGTTATTTTTAGTAACACTCAGGCAATGCCCCAGTATTTGTGGACTTGCACCCAGAATCATGTACAGCCACAGAATTACTCATCAGGACCAAGGATGCTGTCTTCACAGAATCCTTGGAGCAAGATTCTCAAGGGGTAGCACTGTTGATTTACCTCCACATTATTTTAACAACCGGCATGTGCTTGGTTTGGAGGAAGTCTCCAAATAATGACCATCAGTGAGTCAAAGAGTGGTTTGAATATGTCAGATGGGTTGTCCATATGAACCGATTGGGTTATTGAGGGGACCCACCACAAACTAGCATCTTAGTTCTTTCATCTTTGTCTTCACTTCTTGGGATTGGGGTGGGTAGATCCCAACCCAAACTCAGGACCGTTCCCTCTCCTTCAAGTTGTCCTTTTGTCTGTTTTACTACAGGTAACAGCAGAAATGTTTTATATGTGATGGGGTGTTTCTAGTATATAATCCAAGCCTTTTTATTTTTCTAAAATGATAGTGTAACAGCAGGATGATTTTATATTTTCCAGAGAATCTTGTATAGTGTTTTAGATATCAAAATAAACCACCTTTGTCTGAATAACTGGCTTTGAAAAGTTGTATGTAAAATGACATTATTCCAAGTGGAAGAACATTAAAAGGCTGATATTCTACTGATACCCTATTTGGATTCAACCATATCAAGCAATGCCACTCAAGCATCATGAGGCCAAATTATTTATTTTTTAAGATATATTTATTGTAGGGAGAGAGAGAAAGAGGGAGTGTGCATGATTTGGGGGGGGGTGAGGGGATGGGGAAAGGGAAACAATCTCAAGCAGACTCCTTGCTGAGTACGGAGCCTGGCGTGGGGCTCAGTCCCAGGACCTGGAGATCAAGACCTGAGCTGAAATCAAGTCGGATGCTCAGCCGACTGAGCCACCCAGGTGCCCCAAGGCCAAATTATTAATTTGCCAAATATTTCTTGATCACAAGATGTGTTTCAGTCATTTTCTGGGTGCTGGGGATATGATGCAGGACAAAACAAAAGTCTTCAGAAAGCTTCCAGCCTGAATAATCAGAAAGTCAGCTATGTGATTGACTATAACAAAAGAGGAATTATAGATTCATAATTCCTAATTTTAAGATTCTTAAAATTTAAGAGGGAGGGTGATAAATTAAAAAGGGGATGGAAGGAAGGCCTTCTAGAGAAAGTGAAACTCAAGCTGAGACCTGAAGTATGTATGAGTTAGATGAATGAGGGATGCAGCAAATCAGTAGAGTTGGAAGAGTATCTTATGAAGAGAGAATAGTTCTTATAAAGGCTGAATCCACTGTGACTTTGCCCAAATTTTACTTCAGAGTTCTAATATAGAGGCCAGCTAGTCTCACCATGTATCTCTTGCCTGTTCTGAACTCCATATTTCTCTGTACTCCCCAAATTTCCTGACCCTCATATCTCTGCACAGAATACTTCTTCTGCCTCATCTTACTGTAACCAGCATTCTTCCTTTTTTTTTTTTTTTAATTCCCTTCACCTATTTCACCCCCCGCCCCCAACCTCCCCTCTGGTAACCATGTTTATTCTCTATAGTTAAGAGTCTGTTTCTTGGTTTCTCTCTGTTTTTTTTTTTTCTGTTTTGTTTCCTAAATTCCACATATGAGTGAAATGATATGGTATTTGTCTTTCTCTGACTGACTTTGCTTAGCATTATACTCTCTAGCTCCATTCATGTTGTTGCAAATGGCAAGATTTCCTTATTTTGGGGGGCTGAATAATATTCCATTATATATATATCTCACATCTTCTTCATCCATTCATCTGTCAATGGACATTTGGGCTGCTTCCATAATTTGACTCTTGTAAATAATGCTGCAATGAACATAGGGGTGCATATATCTTTTCAAATTAGTGTTTTTGTATTCCTTGGCAATAGTGGAATTACTGGATCATTTGACAATTCTATTTTTAGAAAAAAAATCTTTTTTTCTTTTTTTCTCCATACTGTTATCCCCAGTGACTGTACCAATTTGCATTACATGAGGGTACCTTTTCTCCACATCCTTGCCAACACTTGCTGTTTCTTGTGTTTAAAAAATTTTTTTTAAGTTTTTATTTAAATTCAGGTATACAAATTGTTTCCTGTGTTTTTGATTTTAGCCATTCTGACAGGTGCGAATGATATCTCATTGTTGTCTTGATTTGCATTTCCCTGATGAATGATGTTGAGCATCTTTTCATGTATCTGTTGGTCATCTGTATGTCTTATTTGGAGAAATGTCTGTTCATGACTTCTGCCCATTTATAAACTGGATTATTTGCTTTTTGGGTATTGAGTTGTATATATATATATATACAACTTTATATATTTTGGATATTGAGTCATTAACAGATATGTCATTTGCAAATATCTTCTCCCATTCTGTAGGTTTTCTTTTAATTTTGTCGATTGTTACCTTTGCTGTGCAGAAGCTTTTTATTTTGTTTCTCTCCCAAACCACGTCTCTGCACTTCCTACTTTCCTTGATGTGGCCTCTTCTCTCCCTCCAGTTGTGCAGTTTGTTCTGTCAGTACTCAGGTCATTTTTATGGGTATTCAGAATGATTTGATAGTTATCTGGTTGTGCTCTAGGAATGAGAGGAGCATAGGGTCCTCCTACTATGCCACCATCTTAGCTCCTCAGAAGCTTCTTATTTTGATGTAGTCCCAATAGGTTGTTTTTGCCTTCGTTTCCCTTGCCTGAGGAAACATATCTAGAAAAATGTCAGAGAAATTACTGCCTGTGCTCTCTTCTAGGATTTTTATGGTTTCAGGTCTCACATTTAGACCCTTAATCCATTCTGAGTTTATTTTTGTGTATACTATAAGAAAGTGATCCAGTTTTATTCATTTGCCTGTTGCTGTCCAGTATTTTCCATTACCATTTGTTGAAGAGACTTTTCCCAATTGTATATTCTTGTCTCCTTTGTTGAAGATTAATTGACCATATAATTGTGGGTTTATTTCTGGGCTCTCCATTCTGTTCCATTGATCTATGTGTTTATTCTTGTGCCAGTACCATACTGTTTTGATTACTACAGCTTGTAGTATATCTTAAAATCTAGGATTGTGATACCTCCAGTTTTGTTCTTTTTTTTCAAGATTGCTTTGGCTTCTCAGGGTTTTTTGTTGTTCTATACAAATTTTAGGAGTATTTGTTCTGGTTCTGTGAAAAATGCTGTTAGTATTTTGATAGGAATTGCATTAAATGTGTAGGTTGCTTTGTATAGTATAGAACAAGAACAATACTTGTTCTTCCAATCCATGAGCATGGAATATCTTTCCATTTGTTTGTGTCATCTTCAGTTTCTTTCTTCAGGGTTTTATAGTTTTCAGAGTACAGGTCTTTCACCTCCTAAGTTTATTCCTAGGTATTTTACTCTTTTGGATGCAAGTGTAAATGGGATTGTTTTCTTGATTTCTCTTTCTGTTACTTCATTATTAGTGTACAGAAATGCAGTGAACTGTATATTGAGTTTGTATCCTGCAACTTTACTGAATTCATTTATCAGTTCTAATAGTTTTTTAGTGGAGTCTTTAGTGTTTTCTATGTATAGTATCATATCATCTGCAAATAGTTAAAATTTTACTTCTTCCTTACCAATTTGGATGCCTTTTATTTCTTTTTCTTGTCTGATTGCTGTGGCAGCATTCTTCCTCTTGAAAGAAGCATGCTTCCTGTCTCATATGGTACTGTCTTTGGATATGGGCAAGAGAGGCCCTGACCTGAACCTCTAATTTGAGAGGGCCCCACTCTGGCCTTCCTCTAGGTTTTCTCATCTTTACAAGGTGAGTAGTCTATAGGGTCAAGAAAATGTATCTATTTAAAGCCTGCATATTTCACTTCTAAACCACCTACTAGGTACCTGGAACCCCCAATTTCTTGCCTAAACAGCTCCAAGTCTATTTCCAGGGCCTAAATTGAACCTCTTTCTTGGGACTGTCCTCCTGAGGGTGGATTATGCCACAGTCTGCATCAAGAATGGCCAAAGGGTGACTATTTGCAGGAATGGGACTTGGACATTAGGGCTGAGTTGGTCACATGCCTGTGTGAGAGTTTGTGACATAAAGCTAAAATAGTGCCTAAATTATTTATAACCTTAAAGCTTATATTAAGAAAAAATAAAGGCAGAAATTATCAGCTAAGCATCCAACTTAAGAAAATCAGAGTAAACTTGAAAGTATAAAAACAGAAAATAATGAAATAGACACAAAAACATACAACAGAGAGAAATAATAAAGTCAATAGCTGTTTCTTTATAAAGATTTAAAAAATAGACAAATCTTTGGTAAGATTGATAAAGAAAAAACAAAAGGTACAAATAAAGAATTTGAGGAATAAAAAGAGGATGTAACTAAAATACATTAGAGATCTGAAGGTAATAATACTAAAAACAATTTTGTGCTAATAAGTTGAAAATTTAGAAAAAATATAGATTTTGTTATAAAAATACAACCTATCACAATTGACTGAAGAACTAGAAATCCTGAATCTTCTAATATCTATTAAATAAGTTGAATTAGCAATTAAAGTTTTACCTACTAAGTAAACAAATACAACAGGCTAAGATGATTTTACTAGTGAATTCTACCAAATCTTTAAAGAACAGATAATTCCAATTTTATGTAAAATCTTCTAGAGAACTTCTTAGATAAATAAGAGGGAACATTCCCCAACAAATTTTTCAAGGCTAGTTTAACCTTGATACAAAAAATAGACAACCAGTATAGATAGGAAAAATAAAGACTGATTCATTTATGTAAATAGATGCACAAAGCACAAATCTTAATCAAACTATTAATAAATATAATTCAGCTCTGTATAAATAAATAAATCATGGTCAAGTTGGGTTTATTTCAGAAATGCAATGATAATTTAAGTACATCTATTAGTGTAACTCACCATATAAGTATATTAAAGAGTATGCTCATTTCAATATATGGAGAAAAGTCACTTAATAAGCAATTCATAAAAGGATATCAAAATCTTAGAGCAAGCATTATATTTCATGGTAAAACATTAGAACTATTCCCTACAAAATCAGGAATGAGACAATGGATACTTTCTATCACCACTTACCTTCTGCAATGAGTTAGAACTCCTGTCCAACACAGTAAAGAAGAACAAATGAAAAACATGACTAGTGGTGGTGAAATAAAAATGTCATTAATCACAGGAAATATGATTGTCTATAGAAAATCCAAGGAAATCTGGAGACAAATTGATAGAATGAATAGAAGCATTCTGCAAGGTTGTAAATAGAAGTTATACATAAGTCAATTTCATTCTTAAGCATGAGAATGAATATAATGACTTTTTTGCCATTACAATAGCAACATCAAAAAAATAAAGTGACTAGAAATAAGTTTAACAAAAGATGTATAAAAATTTCATGAAAAAAATCACAAAATGTTATTCAAAGGCTTTAAGAAGACCTAAATAAATGGAGAGATATACTATGTTGTCATCAAAAAGAAGACTCAATATAATAAAGATCTCTATTCTCCAAAAATAAATCTTATCAATACAATTTCAATCAAAACCACAACAGATTTTCTTCATA